GAAATCTGAAATGAGCTCAATCTGAATTCTGTTCTGTTCCGGATCCGAGGAAATCTGTTTAGGTGCTATAAGCACTATATATGTATTCTGGTGCTATAAGCACATCTGTTCTGGTGCCGTGAGCACAAAGGGAGACATAAGGGGCCTGGATCCTATGAGATTCAGTCAGTGTCAGGGAATTTAGCTATTAATTATATATCTGATATCTGATATATGTTTGTTCTGATCTGTTCCGTTCTGATCTGATTTTGATTTGATATGTCCGTATCTGTTCTGATTTGATCTGTTTTGTTATGAATTGTCCGATTATGATTTCTGTACGAAGATTCCGATATCTGTCTGATTCTGTTTTGATTTCTGATTTGGATTTGGGTCTGATGTGTTTAGTTTTGGATTCTGAGAATTTTGATTGGGGTTTATTGCTTTGCTGAGCTGTTGAGCTCACTCTTGTTTTCTGCTGGTTTTCAGGTGGTTTTCAGGTTCTGAGAAAGGGAAGGAAGTCCAGGATTAGAGTTCAGAGTCCGATCTGTGATAGGTACTTTTGTACTTTTGATTTTTGTACGGTCATGGCTTTTCTTCTGTATTTCTTCTGTTAGCCATGTACCGTATTTTTAGAGTATTTGTAGATTATTGTTTTGAGGAAAAGAAAGAAAAATATAGATGATTTGTTCCGCTGCATTTGATGATTCATAGTAGCTCTGGTCTGTTCTGTGTGTTGGTGTTTGAGTTGAAATAATTTGGAAGATTTAGTTCAGTAAGCAAATTCCAAAGCCAGATCCTGGTCAGTCAGTTCGTTCGTTTCCGTGTCGCGACCAGGTGCGAGCCCGATCCGTCCCGGATCGGGTCGGGTCGTGACAGATGATTCGAGAAAACTTTGAAGCTTTAAGGATCCTAAAGTCTCACTCAAACACTTCTATCATTAATCATGGGGCCACCACCCCTCCGACGACGGTCGCCAAACCTTCATCAGGCTGCCATCGAAAAATCACTCCGACCACCATTGCCGGCTGACCACGGTCCCTTCGACCATCGGCGCCGCCCGACTACTATCCCTCTGATCTCCGTTGCTTGCATATTGCTGTCCCTCTGACCTTGGTCACTTATTGATTAGGATCCCTTTGAACTCCGTCGCCCATTGACGGTCCTACCAATTGAACGAACATGTTAACACTCTCTTGAGAATCACTCTCATTTCAGTAGATTCTTCTAACTTCCACAGTGTAATGTGCTCTATAAGAAACAATAAACACTAATAAAATCATTGTAACTGCATCAGACCCCATGACTTTTTCCTTTTTCTGAAATTTTCACGTAAAAAATTTTCTCTTATGATTATTGCACCTCTGTTTTATCTGTATGTGTGCTAAATCTATGTACAAAGTTTAGACACTACACTCTATATCTAACTACCATCACGAATGTGCAAGAATTCAACAAAAATATATTAGATAAATTTGTTTGATGCTTTTTAATTTTAAAATTAAATTTTTTTATTTAAAATATAAGTTCAAAAAATTGAGAATAATTTATCAAAAATAAATCTGCCATTATTTATTTTATTTGAATTTAAATTTTTTATTGTTGCATTAGAACACAAATATATATGTAAACCGTAAATCTGGAAAACTAATCGTGCACTCTCCTTAGTCGGTACGCTACTGCCATTGTTACCGGCCCTCTCGCCGTGTCGCTCTCAAGTAGTAAGCTGGGGTCTGCTCTCATTCGCTCGCTAATTCAGTTAGGGCTCCTCGTTTCGCTGCAGAGCGCTACTTCCTCCAACTGGTATTCACCTTTCATGTTAACTTCATATTTAAGATCGTCCACTTTTATTTGTTTAGTTTTTATGCTTGCATGAGACTCAGTGAAAGCCCTAAAACTGGGAGTTAGACTGGTTTTTAGTGAAGGAATGTATGCGAGAAACCTTGCTCACCGAATAAGGGCTCTGCCCATTGAAAAGAGAGTTTTGTGGTTTCCATCTCATTGCTTCATGGAAATTTCTCTGTGCCCAGTCTTCTTTGTTGACAGCTTCTGGTTTTATGTCTATTGGAAGCTACTGAATGCGCTGATTTAATCTCTCTTTTTTTTCCCAGGTATTGGATGGTGTATTTGTTGCTATTTGAGAATGCATATAAAGAAGGTGAACTTTTATCAGTCAGTTCGGATTTTGGAGTAGATTGATCCAATTTTGTCTGATTATTGGTCTGAGTTTTAGTTCTGTTTTCATGTGTTGGTTCATGTTGTTATTTTTCTAGATTATTATTGAAGGATTTAAGAGTTACAAGGAGGAGGTATCCACGGATCCTTTTAGTCCGAAAGTTAATTGTGTTGGTAATGTGCTTATCTTTATCTTTCTTCTGATCTTATATTTTAATATTCATGTATATTCCTAAGAAATTTAGGATTAGCAAAATTCACGTGAATGAAAGTTTTGGCTGAAAATTGATACAAACAATTGTGCAGCTTCATGTAACACGGGCATGATTAGAGATTGTAACCCTCTTTAAACCATCACAATGATGAGGACTCAGGAGGAAGAGTACTTGGGTGATATTTCTCTTGATATCGTTACTAACGATCTAACTTTAAAGATTGGATTGAGTAATCATTCTTTAAGCCTATAACATGGGATAAAAAAGGTAATCATTCTTTAAGCCTCTAACATGGGATAAAAAAGGTTTATGGAAATCCTCAATCAAACCTGCAACTCAAAATAAATTGAAAAGTGTATGCTTTGGCCTAGCTGGCTGATAAAATGGAGGGTAATCTAGATTTTAAGGTTTATGTTAATGTTAAATTCCCTTCATGAGGATTGAAGCATTGCTTGCAACTATAACTTCTTTTCCTTCAATACTCATGCACCTTCATCAATCCTCAATTCTTCAGGTTTCTCATAACTGGAGAGAGAAAGTGAGGAGCGAGATAGCCTGCCTCAATGAGGTTGAAAAGGTGGTGGAAGGCGATGAGAGAAGGGGGGGTGGGGGGGGGGGGTTGGGGTAGGATGGAGGCAGGCTTTGGATATTTGAATAAATTCCATTTAGGTTTGGAAAGCAATGCATTAGGCTTACATGGTCTTCCCATTTATAACAGTTCGAGATAACGAACTACAAACAAACTTCCAATAAATACAAGTATTTGTTAGCCACCTACTGATTGGAGGTTGAAAACTTAGGAAACAGCCATTTTTGGATAATGATGAGATGGCCACTCCTATGGTTATTCTTTTGGTGGTTTATTGACATGGCACTCCTTGGTGATATAGCACTTGATGATGTGGCACTCAATTGTGGAGTAGCATCTTAACATATTGAATTGTTGTCTTCTAGCATTGTTGACATGTAGACGTGATATAGTTTTGTATAGGTCCTTGGAGCCTTAAATCACTTAACCTATTGGGCGGGTTTTCCCAAAGTAGTTGATTTTGGTGGAATTCACCTTAGTGGCCATCTACAGAAACCATTTTTACTAAAATCCTCTTTGATAACATGTTAATGTAGAATGCTTGTGTAGAGGAGCTTATCCATCTACATGTGTTGTTAGCTATATTTTGTATATCACAGTAATATAACAACATTGCCAAAGGAAGCATACTTTAGTTCATGGTTTTCTCAATATGATAGAAGATAAATGCGCATTTCTAATGCTAGGTAATTAATTAGATTACAATTCAATTTCTTAAAGTTATTTTGCCAATTGTAAAATAAATCAGCGAAATCCCTTTTTATGTTTTGGTTGCTTTAAAAATGCAATGCATTAAATTTTTTTTTTTGGTCTTGGAAACGACATGGATTGTGGAATGGGATGGTGCGAATAGTGGCGTGGCTAATTGCCTAGTTGGGTCGTTGGTGTCGGGTTAGGGATGACAGGAATGAACACTGGGACAATAGGCATGGTGTCGGCAAGACAATGGTGTATGGTAGGGGACAACTTTGGTCACATGGATGGTGACATTGGGTTAGGGTCACCGACGGTAGTTTTGGGGTTGATGTTGGCTGCTATTCAATGAATTTGGAATTTGCCCGATTTAGGTGAATTCATAATTCCTCCAAAAATGATCTATCTAGGATATTTCAAACTCAGAGAAAATATTTTTCACCTATTTTACGTCACACCAAGCTCCTAAAAATTAAAACACATGCATTCCTTTTGCTTTAAATCCCTAGTACACCAAACCAAAAAAAACCCCAAAAGTATGGTCAAAATCTTGTGTAAACTGCGAACAATTGAATTAGAAGCTACAAGAAAATATAAGTTTCTTGAAAAATAAACTCTTCAATCCACCCAGTTCATTACTGATGCAAGAAAATTTGGGAAGGGCTCCAAATTTTTGCAAGCAAAACAAACACTTTCTAGGATAAAAGAAATTACATGAAATATCCAAAAAGACATTTTTTATAATAAAAGATGACTTACAAACTGTTGACTCTTACAAACGACGCAATAAAGACAAACAAATTAAAGACACCTAAAGTTGCAATTCCATTATTTGAGAAGAAGGATACATGTGGGGTGGTCTCTTGCATAGAGAAGGGGATTAGAAGCAAGACGAAAGGAAGGAGAAGCTCACAAGCTTTCCTAGAAGGAAGAAGAAGAGAAGTTGGACAAAGCTCGCAAGCTTTTCCAAACAACAAACCCGCAGGTTTCTATTCCAAAAATCACATCATAACACACATTTAAAAGAACCACAAACATCTCTATATATAGGCACTAAAAGGGGAGCCAAACGGCCACCTAAAACTTCATTTAAACCCAATCAACTAAGGGGAAGAGGAAGGGCAAAAGGCTGTCCAAATAGCTCCCAAAATGCCAGCATTTTTTATAAAACAACAACCAAAAACTGCATAGGAAACAGGGAATGAAAGGCCAAGGGTTGGTTCAAAACAGCACCTCAAAAGCCCACCCAGCAGCTGGATTGAAGAGACACAGGACATTCAACCAGCAGACATCCCAACGGGCAGTAGGGAGCAGAACTGGAAGAAGAAATCCCAACAGGCAGCCAAGAAAAAGAGAGTAAACGGCACAACAAAGGTGCAATGAATCCAACTTTGGGAACAACACAAATAATAGGAAACCAAAGGGCAAAAGACAAGGGGGAAGAACCTAATAAATAAGATTAATGAGCTAGATTTAAGTAGAGAACTTGTAGCTCACCAATTTTACAATCCAAAATGTTTTGACCCCCCCTTGCCTATATCAATTACATACACACATTTATCATTCATGTTTAATTCGGTAAAGCATAGTCCTGTCAATGGAACTAAATATTCACAGGTCAACTTCCCAATAACTTTTATGAAACCTGAAAGTTGAATGCCAGTTTGTAAGTTCAAACAAGCAAACTTGATAACAACATATGCATCCAAATAGTTCATGAAATCATCTTATCATTGACTACTTCAAAAGAAGGTCAACCTTGCTCAATATACTTTGAAATTGGCTAAATAATAACCAATTTCAATATCATAACTTAATCATCTTATACGTTATTAAAACTAACTCCTATTTCATTTATACTCGATTTCTTGAGCTTGCTGTTTATTTGCTTAGAGAAAAGGATTAAGATGGTCTATTGACTCTTTATGTAAGATTAAAATAGTCCCAACTATATTAAATGATCATTTTTGTCCCTCAATTCCTTAAAGAAGAACCAAAATAGTATCATCGTTTTTAAAGACTTTAAGGCCCAAAATGATTATTTAATAATTAATATAGTTGGGGATCATTTTGATTTTTTATAAAGAGTCAATGGACCATTTTAGTCCTTTTCACTGTTGGCTTACGTCATTCATCATTCAGTCTCAAGTTAAAGTTATGCATGCAATAAATTTAAACCTTTGCTGTGTAATTCTCATATGTTCTACATCTTGGTAGAATTCCTAGATGACTGTGCACAAACCTTTTTTGTTTCCTTCTTGAATATACTGCGATGAATTTTATGAACTATAGATGCTCACAATCTTCTATCACACATTTGGTTACTTTCTCAGTTGGTGCCAATGGATCTGGAAAAACCAACTTCTTCCATGGTAAATATGTTTTAACTGCACTGGTCTAGAATTTGAAGCTAGTGTGTTTTCAATTTTGAGGATGTCACTCTTGATTTATTTTTTTCAATAATGGTTTTTGATTGGACACGTGTTTCAGCCATACGTTTTGTCCTCAGCGATCTCTTCCAAAACTTGCGCAGTGAAGATAGACAAGCACTTCTCCATGTATGCAAGATTATTTAATTTTACCATTTTTTCTCACTGTGCTGTTAAACTTTAATATTGACTTCATTTGGCTGAGTGATATAATCAGGAAGGTGCAGGCCACCAGGTCATGTCTGCTTTTGTGGAGATAGTATTTGATAATAGTGACAATCGTATACCAGTAAGTTCTTCCTCACGATATTTGTTTTAAGTTTAATGAAGCTTCTTCAGTACAGTGCTATTAATTTCAGTAAAATTGTAATTTTACATTGAATCTATATTTCTTTGTTCCATAGTGTAGTCTTAACTTAAATGAATGGTCTTGGTAAACTAGTAATGCCTCATGTTGTAAGAAATTTTAGTCACCGTTAAACCCGGAGTTACTAAATATTTATTAGGTCTTCTTCAAACTGCACATTTAACATCTGTCATAACCATCATCATCTTCATATTGTAGCTTGACACTAACTCTTTAACTTTATTACATTTTGCATCTTCTGGTTGAGGCTTCGGCCTGGTTTGTGCTTGTCTCAGCAAACAGTGAAATAGCTATTGAAGTTGAATTACTGTGATTTACTTGTTGCATCCATAATATCTGCATGCATATGTAATTTGTGTGGAATGTCAATATGCATATGTATGAGTTTGTGCACTCAGATGGGGGAAGATTTTGTTAAATTTTTTATAGGCTGGCTTATGTGAAGGTGAGGCTAGTTGAAAACTCTCTTTAAGATATGCTTGGTTATTTTTATTTACTTTTGTCAAGATACTCGCACCTTTGGCTTTTGATGTCAGCTTGATGGTTATATTGATACTTGAGGGCATTTTTAGAAATTTTCATTAAAGCAACATGCTAGACTAATGGCGCTGATGATCAAGATGAACAAGGATTATTGTAATGTATGGGTATTTAAATGCCATTTATTCCTGAGTAATGCTTTAAGAATTTTTTTTCTTAAATTTCTCATTAAGATTTTTTTTGAGGCATTTTATAAAAGCTCAAAACATTGATTACTGCTGCATTCTCAATATAAAATAACCACCACCCCTCCCCAAACCGAAAGACCATGTGTGAGGGTATGGGACACTTGTAGCTCTAATTATTTTTTTATTATCTAGATTATTATTAAAGTTGGCACAATGGAGAAAAATGATTCTAGTCGACCCCTCACAGGGCTTGTAGATGATTATTAAAGTTCTTAATTTAAACTAAATAATAACTCAATTATATTTAATTAAATTATAAATTTAGTTTCCTATAATTTTTTGTTTGTGATGTCTCAGCTTTGTAAACATAGCCTACAATCTGAACTGGGGTTTTCAGAGTTTTTCTATTAGAATGTATTGAGCACAGATTCTCAAATATATTATATTTTCTTTGTTTGAGCTCAGTTAACTTATTCCATTTGTCCCTTCTATATTAACTGGCTACACTAATTTCATGATTGTGTCCTACTTTTAGGTTGATAAGGAGGAAGTTCGGCTGCGTAGGACAATTGGTGTCAAGAAGGATGAATATTTCTTAGATGGAAAACATGTCACGTATATTCTTTTCTTTGTCCATTTTCTATTGGCGTATTGTACAATTTTTGTATGCAATAAAAATAATCATCCTGGTTGTGGATTTCTACAGGAAAACTGAAGTGATGAATTTGCTGGAAAGCGCTGGCTTTTCTCGGTCTAATCCATATTATGTTGTTCAGCAAGGCAAGGTATAAATTTCACGGTTTGCTGATTTGATATTTTTGGTTGCTGGTATGCCAAAATGGTAGACATGACATACTTGATGAATTTATACAGATCGCATCGCTTACATTAATGAAAGATTCTGAGCGTTTAGATTTGCTAAAGGAGATTGGAGGAACACGTGTATATGAGGAGAGACGGCGTGAGAGCTTGAAAATTATGCAAGAAACTGGCAAGTTACCTGTTATGTTCATAGAGAGTTTCATTTGATATGAAACATTTCTCAATTACTAATTTTCACTTTTTGGTTCTGTTATTTTGTTAGGCAATAAACGAAAGCAGATAGATCAGGTTGTTCATTTTTTGGAGGAGAGATTGAGAGAACTAGATGAAGAAAAAGAAGAACTGAAAAAGTACCAGCAACTTGACAAGAAGATTAGATCACTTGAATACATCATTTTGGAGAAAGAGATGGATGATGCTGCCCAGAAATTGAGGGAGGTCAGTTATCTTGAAATGAAAAATAATACCAGGTTCACTTGACAATTATAATTGAATAAAGGGTAAATTTCTGCCTCACCTAATTTGGCAGTGATGAAGGCATTTCCAAACTACATTTTGGATTTCTATTTTAGAATTTAAGGATGTTCTTTAAGCATATTTGAGCTCCTCTAATTTATTTGATGTTCTGCTACTTGGCACATATTTTAGTTCATGAATATTTCTGGTGATATCTTAAATTTCTATGCCTTGCTTGTGTTGGGTGCTTGCCGTGCTGCTGATGTTAGTGGTTGACCTGCCATAGCAGAACATAATGAATAGAGGAGAAGAGTGATGCATGCATGATGTAGAACGGGAGAGGACTTTGCTAGGGAGAGGATCTCTTCTCCAAAATCTGAAGGCAATTTTGATTTCTTTGCCCAAAACCTGAGAAGAATCTCAGATTTTCTCTTGGTAGGAGAGAGGTTGCAAGCTCCAAACTTCCTCCCCTATAATCTGAAAACAATTTCAGATTTTCAACAAAAAAAATCTGAGAGGAGTTCTCAGATTTTAGTGGGCTAGAACGCAGAGAACTTGAGGAGGAGTCTAGCCTTGGTTGTGAATAGAAAGCTGAGAGCAAACTTCCTTTACAGGTTTTGGAAGAGAGAGCTCAAAAACAGAACCTGAAATAAGTTTCAGATTTTGGTGAATAGAGGAGTTTGGTGAAAATCCCAAGGAAGGAGCCAGAGAGATTTCGGCCAGCAGCAATCAGATTTTGGAAATCTTTCCAAAGGAATAAACGGCACTTAGGGAGAGATTTCAAAAGCAATTTAATGTGGAGAGGGGGACGGCTGTATATGGAATTGGAGGTGGGTTTGTTTCTTAATTCCCAAGTCAGGCTTTTAGGAAAGAATTTAATATTTGGCCCTGTATAAAATTCGGCTGTTATGACTTGGAAATATTTCTACAGGCAAGAGAGGTTTAATGTTAGGAAAGATTGAAGAGGGACCTGCGGTATCCATAGGGAAAGAGGGGTTTAATGCATTTAATTGGGGTTGCTTGATTTGGGTTTAGAATTTAGGAAAGAAATAATTAAGTCCTCTTTGAATTTGAAATTCAAATAGGATTTAAAATGGGAACTTTCCAAAATAGAACGACAAATTAGGAAAACTTTTTAATTGTCAAATTTCATGAATTTGAATTTGACAGCTACCCAAAGATTTGCTCACCCAAATTCAAATTGATTCAAATTACGTACTTTCCTAAAATAGGCGAACTAAATTAGGAAATAAATTTTGAATTTCAAATTTAGATAATTTGAATTTCAAATTAAGTCCGAATGTCATTCACCCCAAATTAGGAAACTCAAGAAGGAAGAGGGAAAGGTGAGGCCGGCGGCTAGGGAGCCATGGCCGGTAGTTTGGACGGGTGAGGTTGGTGGTGGGGATGGCCGGAAGGAGGGGAACGGTGAAGAGGCTGAAGATGAAGACTAAGATATAAGAATAAACAAAACAAAAACAAAAGATTGAAGATAAAAATCACGAGCCTTGGACTTTCTGAAGACTGACGGGTGATGCTTTGCCCTTCTCCAAGGGACTTCAAGTCACGAGCCCGGACCCATCCTGCGGCTGGTGAAAACTCCGATTTCTTCCCATAAGAATCTCACTAATGCTCTCTCAAAAGAACACAAGTGTGGAACCTAATTTTTTTTATATCAATAATCCATCCCTATTACAATAGCTTAAGGCTATATATATAGGCCACAACATAAGAAAACTCCAAAATACAAAATTTCCCCTTGGGCCACAACACTCACATAAACCAACCTAGGGGTAAAACAGGAAATACATCAAATAAAAATTAAAATTCAGAAAAATAACTCATAATTGAAGATTTAAATTATAGCCGTCAATTTATGACGCCTCCTGTGATAGATGCGCTAAATCTTCGTACCGATGTCCGCATCAATGCAAATTTCAATTTATTTTAGTTTTTCATTGTAATTTGAATGCTATAGTTTTTTTGGTTTTTTATTATGCTATCCTATGATGGAAAACATCCAATGATCATGAGTAGGTTGTGCTTGGGCTTGGCAAGCTTTGGGTGTGCTAGCTACTTGGGTTCTTTGGTCTTTGGGTTGCTTGTTGGTTCTCGGGTTGGGCCTTGGATGCTCGGGTTTGGGCTGTGTTATTTTGGGAGCATCTTTGTTTTAGCTCATTAATGCTTGAGCTAATGTTTTAGCTCATTATGATGATTAGTTATCCCACTTTTTAGCTCATTATGTGGAGTGAAATCTTGCCCTTTCCCCTTCTCTATGGCTCTCGGTTTTCCTTCTTGGTTGCCTGTTTCGGTTCCCCTGGCTGCCTGGCTCGGTTCCCCTGGCCGTTCGTTCCTTCCCCCATGGCTGCTTTTTGCGGATTTCTATGTGGCTATTCGGGTGTTGTTCTGGACTGAATTTTGGCCTTCCATTTCGCCTTGCCTGATTCGTTCGGTTGGAGGTGATTTGACTGTTTGGCTGCCCCCTTTTCTCTTATAAATTGGAGGTATTTTGAAGCATATAAGGTTGTTGAATATTTGAGCAAAGTCTCTTAAAAACTTTAGGGTTTCTTCTTTGGAAAAGCTTGAGAGCTTGTTCCATTCTTCTTTTTTTCTTGGAAAAGCTTGCGAGCTTGTCCTCCTCTTTGTCTCGATTTCTAACATTTTTCTTCTCTCCGTAAGTTCCACTCCACTTGTATCTTTCTTTTTGAGCTATTGGAGGTGTTTGTTGGTTGATTTGGTAGCATTTGCCGGAGGAGTTTCGGTGGACGTTGGACCTTGTAGCTGTGGTGGACCCTTGGTTTGCAAGCCCTTAAGCACTTCTTTTATATTGCCTACTTTTCGTTGCATGTGAGGAAACACTTGCCGGTTGTTTTAAAGATAGTTGTTTTTATTTTTTTAATTTTGTTTCGTTTGTTTGGCTTTCGTTTGTTTTGGTGTTTGTTTGGATGTGATCATTCTAGTTTTGAATTGAGTTATGTTCTACTTGTCCTGGTGTTCTCCTCTTTTGGTTGTTCCTATCTAGCTATCCGCATCAAAGAGTTCCTCCAAATCAGGTTGTTTTATATTGCTTCCAAAATATCCAAAAAAATTCAAATACCTCTTTCATGTTTCCACATCATAGAGTTAATAGCTCGGTGCTAGAGATTTAGGAAGAAGAAAGTTACTTTTGCTGCTGCTATGGGTTGATCGAGCATACTTAGGGTTGTCAAAATGGGCTTTCGGGTCAGCTTCGGGTCAAACTCGCAATTGACTCGGGTCCAAATTGGTTGACCTGAACACAACCCGGTTCGGTCGAAAATTCAGACCTTGACACGACCTACGCAGGTTACCTGGTTGACTAGACCCGCCAACTCAGAACACATACTACGGAGTTCGGTCACTAGTGTGGGTCCGCGGAAGGGCTGGCTGGTGATGAGTGCGGAGGGCGGAGTCAAGACGCGAGCCCAGGTCCGCAAGGGAGGGCTCGTTGACGTTGTGGAGGGCGGAGTCTGGATGCGAGCGCGGGTCCGCTTGGGAGGGTTTGCTGATGCTTGACACTGCAGTGCGGAGGGTGGAGTCTAGATGCGGGATCGAGGGCTACGTCTTGTGGGTGGGTGTGACTCGCAACTTAGAGTCCGGGTGCCTCTGAGTCATTTTGGGTTGATTTTGGATTTTCGGTTCAACCCGAACCTAACCCAGTTTTATAAACTGGTCGAAAAATTGAACTTGAACTTGACCTGTATAACAAATGGGTCGCGACCCAAAGCCAGAATTTTTCGGTTCGGATTTCTGGTCGGATCAAGTTTTGACACTCCCTAAGCATACTTTCTTACCTGTTTTGATTGTGTGTGTGTGTGTTTTTTTTCACTTGTATGAATGAATAGTTGATGGGGACAACAGAGCATGGAAAGTGCATCAGAGGCGTAGTCGTCAATCTATGACCACGTTCGAGTTGATGTAGTTTTGAGTCATTGTCATGTATTTGCCTTTTATTATGTTAATTGTCTTTTATTATTTATGTTTTATTTGTTTTCCCGTTTTACCCCTTAAGGGAGATCGTATGTAAGCCCTGAGGGCATTGTCGTCTTTCTTATTTTGAGTCCTTTTTGTACGAGGCTATTTATAGCCCTCATGTTGCTCTTCTAAAGGGGATGAATGAATATTATGAAAAATTTCTTGCACTTGTGTGTTTTGAGAGAGTTTGAGAGTTCTTGGGAGAGGTTTGGAAAAATTCCTAGGGGAGAAAACGGATCACCCACCAACCTTGGAGATGGTCGGGTTCGTGGTTCTACCTTCTCTATCATTTTCCTCCTCCTTCCTCCCATAACTAGCTGCCGGTTTTTGAAATCCCTCCCCACCTCTTTAAGCCGCCGGCCACCCTCCAACTTTCACTCACCACCGGGTAAACCAAATTCCTTCTCCCGACCAACCCAACGTCACCTTCACCCCACCGAAATTTCTCCTTACAAGCCCACCTAGCCGCCAGCCTCATCACCCTCCTCCCTCCAAAATTCAAATCACACATTGAATTCTTTCCATAATTATCTCCTCTTAATTTGGAAAGGGTTTAATTTCAAATTTCAAAGCATTTTGAATTTGAAATTTCTTTCCTAATTTAAGAGACCTATTTTTGGAAAGTTCCTAAAGTAAGTTCAATTTGAATTTTGAATTGAATTGGATTGAAGTTCACTCCTTCCTAATTTGATTTTCCAAATCAAGGAAGAGTAATTGCTTCTCTCAAACCCCTTCCCTCTTTGGATGCCGGCCTCTACATGGTCCCCACCTCTTTATTTCTTTCCAAACTCAAGTCTCCTCTTTAGGAAACTTACTAAATCTACTCCTATTTAAATTTTAAATTAAGTGGGGATGAGATATTTCTTTCCTAACTTAATTAATAATTTAAGTAGGCATTAAATGCATCATTAAACCTTTCCCTCTCTCCATAGCCGCCGGCCCCCCTTAATGGTTTGAATTAGGATTTTTTTCCTAAAGCCCACCTCTCTTGGAAACAATTCAAAACCCTTTCCCCCTCTCCTTAGTCGCCCCCACCATCCCTAATTAAACCCTAATCCTCTTTCAAAGAAAAGGGATTAATTGGGGAAAACAAATACTTGATTTTCCTCCATCTCCTCCTCCATCTCCTCTTCCAAAATCTGAACCAAATTTCACTCACGTGCCCTCATCCCTAGGCGGCCACCTCCATCCCTCTTCCCCTCTTGACTTCTCAAGATAATCTCCTCCCTCTCAAGAGTAGTCTTCGGGGGGGGGGGGGGGGGCAACGACGTCGTCTGTAGATCTTGACTACTTGTTACCGGGTTTCGACAAAGTTGAACCTTCAAGGGAGCCACGACAAACTTCTTCAACATCTCACTACTTGCTACCGGGTTGTGATAAGGGTGAACTTCTTCCCCCTTTTTGATTACTTTTCTAATCCCCTAATCTTGTTGGTGATGATGATTCATAAGGAGCCGAGCTTCAGCTTTGCCTAAGCTTAAGTAAACGTAGGATTCAACACACTTTCTATGCTTCTAATCTAATTGTTAGATTAGGGATTTTGTTGAAAGCTATTTACTTTGCATGTTATTGAATTTCTACTTGTTTGAATATCCAAGTGTTTGGCATGTGGCTTAGCCTAAACGTAGGCACCCCTCTTTTATTTTCTATCGTAGTTTTGATTGCTAATAGTGGTAATCTTACGTGCTTAATTCAAGAAATCGTGCAAATTCTTATTTCATTCATTTTAAGCATTTAGTTCCACATCAATAGTGTGCTGGGTGGTTGGGTTCGGGTTCGGGTTGACTCAGAAACCTCTCATGCCAGCTATCGCGCTTGCCTCGTCTCCGGACTCGGCAGTCCGCATTCTTACGCCTCACCTCTGGCCTCCTTAGTTCGCACCTAGACAGTCAGTCAGCCAGACCCGCACCGCGTTCGGCAGCCTCGGCCGCTTGCCTCATGCCGGTACTTCACAGTCCGCACCCATAAGGCCAATTGGCCTGACCCGTACCACGCTCAGCCGCTCGCTTCGCATTTGGATTCCACAGTCCGCACCCAGAAGACATAGTGCGTTGCATGATCTAGCACGGCCGCACCTAGATCCCCCTCGCACAGCTCCACAATCTGCACCATAGCGAGCATACCGCATCCGGGTTCATGGGTTGGGTTTGGCTCTAAATTTTTGACATGTTTATAACACCGGGTCAAGTTCGGGTCATGCCGTTTTGATCCGGGTTAATTATGGGTTCGACCCGAACCCGATCCAAAAACCCATTTTGACCCCCCTATGAATAGTGTTGATTGAAGAGTATGTGTGTTTGGGTGTTGGGTGGTTTTGGGGGGGTGGGTTCCTGGGAGCTATGTCCCACCATGTTCGCTTGTGATTGTAGACTTGTGAAGGATATGCTTGGTTACTTTGTGGGCTGTAGGTTATCTTGAGACTTGATCTTTTAGGTTGCTTTCCCTCCCTAAGTTCACCTCCTTTTCAAAAAATAGTTGCCATGGTAGCATGGCTGTTATATTTGTAGTTGAAATCCACATGATTGCATCACTAACTGCATCGATTGGGAAACTTAGAATTTAGGTTTTGAAGCTCATAATTTGTCATTTTGAACCATCAAAAGCTTGAGTCTTCACATTTTGATCATGTGGGGATTTCAACCTGTTTTTTTTTTATTATTTGATATCTATTAGCAAGAAGATGAAAACTGGGTCTTCTTTTTTGGTTTTCTGTAAATGTGAATTCCTAGTTTTAGGTTTAATTATTTCCGCTTCTCCGCTTACATTCCCCTTCAGTCCATGCAAAACTTTTTATCTTGCATGTGAATAAAGTTTTAGTTTATGTTTGAGATTTAGATTTGACTACAGAACTTACTGTTTATAATTGTGCTATGTGGTTAAAAGGTCATTGTTTTACATTAAAAGATGTCTTAGACTTCTTTTTATAAAGGGGTTAGCTTACTCTTATTGCAACATATTGCTTTTTGACAAAAGAGGCAGTCTTGGCGTTTCTCTGACATTTTCATTGTTCAGCAAGTTTATTAACCATATCAATTTGCTTATGTACTCTAGATTTACTAAGGTTATTGTGGAATGTCTTCTTATTATCATTAGTTCGTGTACTGTTTCCTTTACTTATGAATGCATATACTATATTCTAGTTGATCTTTATATTTTGTTGGAATCAATGCATCCTTCCTTTTGCAGATAGAAGATGCACGAAATACCGTTTCGGAGAAGTCAGCTAATATGCACAATAAAATTCTAAAGAACCATGATAGGGTGAAGGAGTTAGACAAGGACTTCAAAACTTTTTCAAAAGCTATTCAAGGTCTCAACAAAGATAAAGAGGTGATAGAGAAAAGGCGCACTGAGGCATTAAAGATCCGTACTCAGCTTGAGCTTGATTTGAAGGACATTGAAGAGAGAATTTCTGGGGACATTCGAGCGAAGGTTTGTTTGGCGTGGCACTCAAGTGCCTTATAGATTCCAATATTGCCGGTTTTTTACTTAGTTACCATTTGTTGACAGGATGATGCTGCAAGACAGCTTAAGGGCCTGCGAAAAGAAATTCAGGATTCTAGAAATGAACTTAATACAATTAGGCCGTTACATAATGAGAAAGTTGCAGAGGAGGAGGGCTTCATAAAAGGGTAATTTTCATTTAAGCTTGGTTAGTCAATTTAGCCTTTGCCTTCACTTCAGATTTGTCTGTTGGCAATCAACTGATCATCCTTTCTTTTTATGCTTCAGCATAATGGAGTGTGAGAAACAGCTTAGTATATTATACCAAAAACAAGGGCGTGCTACACAGTTTGCTAGTAAAGCTGCTCGAGATAAATGGCTCCAAAGAGAAATTGATGATCTGCAACGTCCTCTCTCATCTCATTTGGGGCAGGTGATTGCTTCCATTCTGCTATATTGCTTAATTAATTGTTAATTATACATAGCTCATTTATTATTTCCATGAAGAAACGGCTTGGTGCAGTAGTGAAGATTTACACTAGTTTCTAGGTGAGTTTGGGCTGTTGATACAGTCATTTTTGGATTGCAGAGTAGAGGAATGAATATTGAAATGCCTCAGACTTCAGTAACTGGCGAGTGCATATGAAAAGTGTAACTGGCGACTGCGCATGAAAATTGCACTGCATTTGCACTTATGTTGGCACTTGCAAGCATTGCTTAGAAAATATATACAGGCTATTATATGCCTTTTGCAGTCTTTATGTTTATTTCTGGCCTTCCTACTAAATTTTGTGAGCATAATTAATTAATTATTGAGATAACTTTTAATGGTATGCCAAACATTTGTAAATAAATTTGGCTTCTTAAGGACTGAACATGGGACTTTTTCCAATTATACATCCATCTTGTGTAGTACATAATAATTTATAACAGTTATAGCAGTTTGTATCCATAGATTCACAAGAAAACATAAAATGGTCTAAACAATTGTATCGAGTCCCTTTGTTACAAACATTCATCTTAGAAGGCCTTCATGCCTTAAATACACATTATCGATCAAGACTTTACAATTACATAATTTCTGCTATTATCTAAATTGAGGATCTATTACAAAATCTCACTTGTTTTCGTATAGTTTGTTTACTCATCAGTTGTGCTTTCTTACACTTCATGGGGAATTCATAGCTCAAAATATAAACATGTTTTTCATTTATAACATCACCACAGCATATTGATTGGATATTCTGTAAGGCTTAGGCAATGAATGTGTACGGATCGGTAAGCATAGGAAATTCTGTCCATGCATTTTCATTGTCAGCATAGTATAATAGTTGAGTAGGCTGAAAATTTAACATGATGAAATATGCAGACTTGATATTTGCATATACGGCAATTTAACTGGTAAAGATAGGCATGACTTGTGAATAAGCGCTCTGGCATTTCTTAACTTTGTGTTCAATGCGATACCTTTCATTATTTCATTTACTTGACAGCATTTCATTTAAAGAGGAATAAATGAATAATCATAAAAAAATTAACAATCGAATTGTGAGTGCAAAATTGTTTGGCATGTTGGTAACCCTTGTAGCTCACGAATCTCCAGGTAGGTATATGGGTCCGCAAAGTATCCTACCAGGTAGGTATATGGGTCCACAAAGTATCATGCTCACACACTCACTTCCCACCAATTTGGAGTGGTGCTTGCACCCGCCAGAGAAGGAATTTGTCCCTACCATGCACAAAGCTATCGGGAGTTGATGCCATCACATTGATGGGTTGCTATCCTCATAAAGAATTGCATGCTAGTGCTAGTATTGCCTTCCAGGCCAATTACACATGAAGTCAAACATCCACGCAATACAATTTATCTACACATGCATTGGAACACATTGTATTAAATAGTGAATGTTTATTCCTCATTTAGCATGTTCAATCTCCCAAAAATAAGAACATCATTGTCTAGATAAATAACAACAATATTAAGCATAATTATGCACATATTTGTTAATAATGAATAGTGCATCACAATGCAAATATCCCGTAGAGTCACAGTACAATGCGACATGTGCTATTTCAAGAATGGCTTGAAATACTAAAAAAATATGAATAATTTTTTATCCAGAAAGATACTATTTAATGTCAATATATAAACCAAGTCCCATGCAAATTTAGTACTATTATCTAAATTTTATAGTAGTATCATAAGAGTTCTTGCCATTGCATGATTCTAGTGAAGGCCAACGAGTTGTTGGAATAAGGAGGTGAAGAAACAAGAGTAGGAAATATTTTCAATCAACATGAGTTGGACATGAGTAAGTATCTTTTGTTGATCTAAATAAATGAATTGAAACCATTCAAATCCTATATCAAAAATATTTTATCCATGATTTAAACTTTAGAAGTCATCTTTCATACAAACTCTTTTTTCATGCATTTAAGAGTTTAACATTACTGAAAATTGAAAAACTTACAATAAAACTCATATCTGCAAGTTTGAGCGTGAAGCATGACCGTGTAAGAATAAGAAGTCATTTCAGTCGGAGTTAAATTTTGAGGAGATTGATGAGTGTTTGGATGATAAGAAAAAAAAATTAGTGAACATGATTAGAGTATTTTATCCACAAACCACGATTAAAATATGACCCATGTAAGAAGAGAAAAGTCATTTCAGTCAGTCAGAAAGTATTAAGGAGATTAATGAATGTTTAGGTGACTAAGAAACAAAAATCCAAGGAAAATTTCTAGACTATCATATCCACAATCCATAGAGTAAAATAAGATCATGTTAAAAGAGGCAAGTATTTGACTTAGAGGGAAAGTTTTGTGAGACTAATGAATATTTAGATGGCTTATTAAAAAAATAAAAAAATTAAATGCAAGGGACATGGCTTGCATATTAGGGAAGTATTACGTAGAAATGAATATTTACCTTTTTTAATGAGACAAAAAAACGAGAAAAAATATATAATAAGCTAAATGTAAGGGTAGAGATGTCCCTAATTAGTGCATCAACAATGAGATATAGCCTTACTCTTATAAAAAAAAAATACAAAGTAGCCACATAGCGATTCTAGAAGCTCGGTCAAGAAGATTATCATGCACCATTTGAGCATGCCAGGTAAAATCTTGCATTTGCAGGGGGAATAAAAATTGCTACTTCTTGCAAATATTCAATTTTACTAATCAGAGGTTAAAATGGGCACGTTTTCCTAAGAATTGAGCTTAGCAAAGAAATAGAAGCATGCTATGTCGAACCTCCAAATTTTTTTAATTATAACTAATTTAAACAAATCAATACACATAATAAAAGATAATGAGGTTGAAAAATAAACAGTGCATATCATTTGCGTTATAGTGCACCTATGGCTTGCACATAGTGCACATTATTTTGTTTTGTTGTGCCGTCAAATGGTGTAGTGCAAGAGGCATTGTGCTATGCCATTGCATGTATGATTACAAATCCGAGTCTAAGGATTATGTACCATAATATTGCATAAATAAATCATAGTAAATGTTGATATCTAATTATTAACATGCTTAGTAAACTTCACAATAGTAATAACATTACATTCTATGGAGTTATATCAAGAGTAAAGCATTATTAATCTTTTTTTTTTTTCCTTAATAAAAATAGGCTCCTTAATTCAATTTAGTTTTTACCCCTCAAACCCTTGCAAAACTTGTAATGATGTAAATTTGACCTTAATATATCCTTATAATTTAGACATAGGGCTACACAAGGTGTTTGTGCAAAACTAAACCACTAGATTTTCTTTCTATCATGATACAAATTAACTAGCAACTTAGTTATTAAATTAATTACTCTTAAGGATTATATTTATTTATTTTTCCAGCCATGCATATCTTTACCAATATTAATACATGTATGTGACATCTTGGTGGGTGAATTCTTTAAGCCTTTACCACATACATATGCCAATAAACAATCATACACTTGTCTCTATATTTATATGCATGTGGATTGCATAATTGGTTTAGGAATGATATTCATTAGGACTACATGCTAACGGGGATTCTCTCACCATTTTATTTCATCATATAAGTCATATTCCTCATTTCGTTCTCATGTTATATTGATGTTGTTTATGGATTTAGTTTTATAATCACACCTAATTTTAATTAGATGATCATATTTTGGAGTTTTGATAATCTTGCATTTTTACATACGAACAAGCCCTGAAATTCATTACCTAATTCTTTTAATTTGCAATAAAACAGGGACTAGCACATAATAACTTTTCATTTCCTAATCTAATAGACCGGTTCAGCGGCTTGGGTATACAGGAGGCGGACAAGTGCCGCCTCCTTTGAGCTGGCCGCCCACATGGGTGGGCCCCATTTGGCTTAGGGTTTTCAAAAAATTTTTTTTTTTTTTGGGGGGGGGGGGGGGGGGGTGGTTGGGCTTTGGAGGGAGTTTTGATGAGTACAATTTTGTATTAATGAGAATGAGGGGGGCTAGGGTTATTTTTATGCTTGAATATTGTTTTCTCTGGAGTTCTTGGGTGTTTGGCTCTAGATTGCTTGTCTAGAAATTTGGGAGAGAATGATCCTCCTCTCGAATTGAGGATCACTTGTATCTTGCTTTGTCTTTGTTTGGCTTGATTCTATTATTGCAATCCATTGTTTGGGGGTTGTTTTCCACCCAGATTTTGCATTATTCTCGCTGTTTTCACCAATTAGTGATAGGTTGGCTTGCAAACTCAAATATTTCCCTTAGGGTTACTTGCGAACTCAAGTATTTCCTATCATAATCTAATTAACACACTTTCACAAGAAATTGAGTAAAATGAAATTAAGGAAATGATTAGATTTTACCATTTCAAGCACCGTAGTTAATTCTCATATCAATTTAGTCCTGACTGGCACCCCTTGCATAGCTTTAACCCTTATCTTTATGCATTTTATAATTTCTAAGCTCATTATGGGTTTGATAATTTATTTAAATTTCTCTAAGAAGCAAAGTTGAAGATCCTCTTCTAGCAGCTTCCTTCATGTCATAAGCTTTTCCAGTCATTAAGTCCTTTGTCCTCATCTCTCCATCTTTTTCGATTCTTTCACAGCCCCCATACTGTTGCTTCTTTCTGCACTTGTTGTCTTGCAATTGCATTCCCCATTTCTCTTCTCCTTGCCTCTCTTCTCTTGATTGCAGTCTTTCTCCCATCATGCTCTATTTCTCTTTGTTATTGCTGTGTTTTCTCTGCACTATTTAATTGAAACCTTAGTAATCCTGTTCGGGATTAAAACCCTATTCAACCATCTCTAATGTTAATGTGCTGGGTTGTGTCATATCAACGGGTCTATCCTTGCCTCAAGCTAATACCCAAAATTCACCATCCAATTTAGTTGCATTTCTTCATTTAGTGGGCTATAGGATGAAGCTGCACAACTAATTAATAGATTCTATATAGGTTGTCCACTCATTCAGATAGACTTATGCCTACACACATGTAACTAATATAATTGTATAAAATTCATAAAAAATTATAAAGTGTATATTATTTATGATTTATCCAAATATTGATTTCATTTAATTATGATGACCCTTAATTAGCAATTAATTATACCTAGTTAAATTAATGATCTTTTGGTCATTATGTAACCAGTTTGGCCTATGAAATCAAGTATAACTTATCTCATTTTATTTCTATTTTCTTTTTATATCCACCACAGGTCTTTTCACAATTAATATTTATCTTTATCTTAATTGTTTTATTCACCAATTTTGCTATCTTTTTTTTTAGAAGTCTCAAATTTAATGTCGTTAATCTAATTTTTATTTTAGATCTAGTTCACCATTGCCAATGTTTTACCACAATTTTATTTAAAATTGTAAATCACAATATGCTAAGTTTTGGTATATCACTTTAAGGGCATTTGTCCTAGTAATGTCTTGCTAGCTGCTTATAAGAATCAGGTTAAGTCTGTGCTTCTCTTACAGGGAACTCCATAGCCCTAGAAAAATTGAAATTCAGATTCATTTTATGAATTTTGGCATAAGTTTTATGATTAATTATTGACCTAACCTTTATCATCTAGGCTAGGGATTTGCGGTGGTTTTGTCTAATAGATGCATAACTTTTTTTATTGCAGTCTCACTCTTTGGAAATACCTTGGTTTTTTGTGTAAAGTTGAGTGGATTTGGTTTGTGAAATTGAAAAGTTTTTTGTAAATTTAAAGTTGTTCAAGAGCTTAAACATTTTTTTTAGTTTGATGAATTCGTCGTCTTTCTTTCAGTATTCTTTATCTCATGTTTAACTTTCTATTTACCATGCATGTATGGTAAAATGGATCACGAAGATTACTTGAATCCTTTGCTCAATGATGGTTGGTCTTTTTTTTTTTTTCCAGGAGAAGAAAATTCAAGAAGAAATCCAACAGCTTAAAGATGAAGAGAACAAGATGGATTTCTATATTGAGGAACAAAGAGCTGAATCAAAAAGGCTGGAATTGGCCATTTCAAAGATACAAGAGGAGTTTAATAGGTTGAGGATACAAAGGGATGAACTTCAAGATAAACGAAAGTATGGTCTTGTCTTTTACATGTGTTATTTTTGCAAATCATCTTACAAATCCTGAGCAAGTTTAATGCCTTATCAGGTCATTATGGAAAACAGAAGGAGAACTTTCTGCTGAAATTGATAAGCTTAGGTCAGATCTTGTGAAGGCCAAGAAGAGTTTGGACCATGCTACTCCTGGTGTGAGTTTCAATTCTTTTCAACATGCTTCTACATAAATCATTCAAAATCTCAATTTTTATTTTAGTCAGTGCTATTTTTTTTTTTTGCTTTGACGTATCCATGATTTTAGCCATATTGTTTGTTCTATGCATTCTCTGATAGTCTCTGCTCCAATTTGATCAGTTGAAAATTGTGCTTTCAGGTTTATACGTTTTAATTTGAGAATATTGGTTTATACACATTTTTTCCTGTTTATGTTTGGGTATACTGGTTTGCACTGCTGCAATGGTGAAATCTAGGCGATATTAAGTTCGGTTTCTTCTTTATTCTCACTGATTGTTTGATTCGAAGTAGTGTCTTTCATGGTTCCTAGAAGATCGAACTGTCAGGTGAACTGTCATCCTTTATCAACTAACCTGTGTGGTTAAATGAGCACGATTTCTAAATTAAGAGTACGCTGCTTCAACAATCTTAAATTGAACTTGTAAAAGGAATGTAGAGAGTGCCGGTTTGTTGTAGCCAATAGTATCTTCGTTTCTTGGAGACGCAAGTTACTGCAACAAGAGTTGCAGCTTTGACAAAAGTCAATGGAAAAATCTAGGTTGGATTTTAATCTAGTAGTTTTCTACCCCTTTTATCATTAGGCTGTTAGTTGTCCACTTGTATAAGCTTGCAGAGTTTAAGGTTATATTTTTGAATAGAGTTAATTGGATCAAATTAGATAGATTGGGTTTTAGTGAAGTTATACTTGGTTAGGCTTGAAAGGTGCATGAATTGGATGGTGTTTAAGAATCATAATTGAAGTTGAAGTGATGCATAAAGCCTCGTGTATCTATTATAATCAATTAATGTTTATGTTCCTGACTTTACTAGTTCGATTATGCTTGATTTGTTGAAAAATCTAGCAACGTGTGATTTGGATCTAAAATTGGGGTGTGCAAAAAACTCATGGAACTGATAGGAAGATGCTAGTATAAAATGATTATTTAATAGAGGATTAGGAGCTTTTTTGATCTAATCAGGAGGCAATGACTATTTTAAATCAATTAATGTTAATTATTCAATAGAGGAGGGAGGGAGGGAGGCTGTATTATATCTATTGTTCACTCTTGGGGGGGGGGAGATTGCACTGTATCTATTGTTTAGTTATGAATTCAATAGGCTTTATATTTAGGAGATTAGCAAGTTTGCAATGCGGCTTTATTATGGGAGGGAGGGAGGAGACTGCACTATATCTATTGTTTACTTATGAATTTAATAGGCTTTATATTTAGGAGGGGAGCAACTTTGCAATGTGGCTTTATTATTGGAGTTCATGCTTTGTTTGTAGAGTAGACACTCTTGAGGAAGATAACTTATTTGGACTTGATGGGTAGTTGCAGTAACATCTAATGGGCTCTCCTCCAAGCACTTGACCAAGTTTGATGTACCCATATGCATTTGAGTCCAAGCCTAAATTGAGTCAAGGAGATGGATAAATTGTTTTAAGGGGTTTGAGTTTGACCAAGGCTCAACTTGAATTTTTTATTGCGTTATGAACTTAAATCACACTCATGTAGTCAAATTAGAAATTTAATAATGGTTCCTCAATTTTCACATTAGAGTTTGATTTATTTTGACCAAACCATCTTGTTTTATTCAAGAATTTTAGCTTACATTAGTGAAATCAATAGAGGCAATTAACCAAATCAAGAGTTTATTTGAGATATGAAAATCGATTGACCTGATCAAAGAGTTGGTAGGCTAATTGATTAGGTAGTGAGTGTGCGCTAGGTCAATTGAGTTAGTTGATAAATCAGTTGGCTAGGAGGCATGGTCAAAGCCATAATATCAATATAGGTATTAATTAGATTGACCAAATCAACCCGAACTGGATTGGGGTTACTTTGGGGTTGTTGGCATACCTAGGGTTTGACTAGTAACTCTAGACTCAGAATGGTTGAACATGTCAACTCAGACTATTCTACCTTCATTGATGCCATATGATATTAGCTTGGTGGCCTGACTAAGATTGTGTCGAGTCAAGTAGGCTACAAGCACGGGGGTTTGTCCATTAGTCTAGGAATGTTCTGGTTCTCGCACAAGCATACTTAATCAGGGGCTATGATCAATTAGGCTTAACCATAAATTGGCTATGGGTCGATATTCCTTCAAGTCTTTGTAGAGGTCAATGTGTGTGGTGTATGACTACAACTTGTCATATTTGTTGTCTTGATTGATTGTCTTTTGTGATTTTTGTCACATAAGCTATGAAACCATGGTGTTTAGGTTTTTATAGACTGGACTGGATTTTTGTCATTGAGCTTAATCTGTATATAGTTTCGAAATCTTGGAAAATATTAGGGTTTTTAATGGTCCAAATCTTTTCTAGAAAGGGTTCAGGTGACCCCTAAATTTTAGTCATGGCTAAAGGTTTTAAGTAACCCATAATTTTAATCGTGGCTAATAGGACTTTCTTTGTGCCTTGCTAAATAATTTCTGAGCACTATAAGTCAATCAAGTAACGCATTTGTGTCATCCGGATTATCGAAATAAGCTGCATCCCACTTGATCCTATGGGATGAATCATTAGGGTTATCATTGTATTTGTGAAGAGGGCTTTTTGGATGGCGTCAGGTGTGGGTGTTAAAATGATAGTCATACTTATTTATCAAGTAAAGCGGGTAAGTGCCCTGACTAAATGGTTAAGATACACTGTATATTCTTCTGGTGGGCAATGTGTGATAGAAATGTGGGTCTGAGGGATAGTGATGTGGTCGAGTGGGAGGATAGTGCTGTTGTGAACATCATATAATTTTTTGACGTTCTTTGTTTCACAATTTTGTTATTTTAGCTTTTAGAGGTGGCCTTAAAACAGAAAGTGGCATCAAATTGTTTTTCAAAATAGTCAATTTTCTTGATTTACAAAAGGTTACTTTCTCGCTAAAATAACGATCATCAAGAGTTTCAGCAATACTGTCTAATGCGGAAATTCAGCAATGAATAGCAAGCGTAATAATACAGCAAACATCAATAGTTCAAGAGCATGCATAATCTTGGCTTTTAAGCTTAATGCAGCAAAGCTAAACAGTCTTCAGAATTGAAAAACACAAAAGTAAAGGTAAATGGTTAACATTTTACTCAAGAAAGGACAAATTAAATTGATATAAATTATATTCAAGTTGGTATCAGTTTGAGTAAAGTTAGTGAAGCATAAAAACTTTGAGGTGGAGGGCTGTAAGTTTAGTGGAATGTTGCCGTTGATGATGAATGGGGACCAATGATAAGAGGTCTAACTAGGGACTGAATGACTGCCTAATTCGAATTGCCTCAGAAATTAACAAGACCAAAGCTACTTCAGAGGTATAATCACCCAAAAGCAAAACATCGAACCAATGCCACCTCAAGTGATATGGATGATAGTGCCACAACGACGGGATCTTTGCGCCATCAAGAACTCTTGATTGTTATGGCTTGATGTAACCAACTGGAAAGACAGTTTGTTTGGCAATACGAGTGGGAATATCCAAAGGCTTTTGCTTTTGTAATGCAGATGATCAAGCTTTGATCAAGAAGAAGCCTGCAAACCACTGATGAAGGCATATAGAGCAAATTCCGCAAACATGTACACAGAGTGACAAGAATATCAAGCTAAGGACAGTAAGCATAAATAATTCCAGCAAAACTTCTAGAGTTGGAATTCAACAATGTACATCGAGCTTAATATAACAAACATCAAGATTACAAGTGCATGTTGAATCTGAATATTCAAGCTTAATGCAGCAAGCATAAGCACGGAAAGAAAAAAAAAAAGCATGAGGCACCAACTGAGCATGTTCACTACAAACATCTTATGCTAGCTTGTAAGAATGCTATCGGATTAAGGAAAACAAATTGAGCAGATGCACGTCTCGCGCAACTAGTTGATGCAAAGTGAGCAAATTGAGCAGTTTTACGCAAAGCAAATGATATCAGATTCAATAAACAGCCTAGTTGATGAAAAGGGCTGAGAAATGATAATAGTAATTGGTTTGAGCATAAATGGAGTCGTTAAAGCAGTAATCAGACAAATGTAATGAGCAGTTAGCTTTGATACGAAGAGTAAACATAGAAAGCGACCAAATAGTGAGTTTATACAGCCATCAAATTGTGGTGAGAACATTCAACTGAGAGCTATCAAACAGTATGCAGGCATATATGAGGAGTTTTTGCAGTAAGAAGATGTATTTGTGTTGCTAGTTCTTGGACTAGCAGTAAGGAGCAATCAAACATTTAGAAGTTATGAAATAGTCAAGCATTATAAGAGGTATATCGTATGCTGGAAAACCAGCGCTCATGTTGTGAGCAAGCATGATTGGCAGGAATTAGCTGTTATTAGGAAGAAGAGAAGGGGAATATGCTGCTTTGATTCGTTTGGAGCTGCTGATACCAATTGAAATAACTTCATCTCCATATTTTATATTCCGACATATGCTGATGTTTTGAGTGTGGATGAATAGGGGTGAAAACGAGTTGAGTAAAGCTCGAGCCAGACCTAAATCAAGCTCGAGTCCCAAGCCAAACCCCGAGTATGAACTCAAGCTCGATCTCGAGTTGAACTCAGAAAGTGAGCTCAAGCTCGGCTCGTGCCACTGTAACGAGCTCGTCGAGCAGCTCGATTTCGTATCCGCTTACTCCTTGCATCCCGCGTTCGAGCGATTACACCTTGCGTCCAACATATGAGCCTGACCTCGCCCGACCTCAAATTCTACCTGTGTCTGAGCTTCGAGCCCGATCGTGTCCGAGCTCCGATTCCGTCTGCGTCCCTCATCCGAGCCCGCCCTGTGATCCCGCCTTCTCATCCCTGCGATTTTGCGTCTAAGCCCGCTTGTTGCCCCCCGTGATTTCCCATTCGAGCGCGCTCGCGAGTAATCAAGTCGAGCATTAGCTGGCTCAAAATCGAGCTCGATAAGCCAACGAGATCAAAATTCTGCTCGAGCTCGAGCTTGAAACTCAATAATCTCGACTCGCAAGCTCATTAACTAGTTGAGCTTGAGCTGGCTCATGAGTCGGCTTGGCTCACTTGCACTAGAAATTATTCTGTGCAGTCACCAGACGGTGTCCAGAGGTGAATCAGGATGTGTCACGTCATTTTTTTTTGCTGTGTATCGATGTTGTGTATCGCTGAGCACTGTGTGATGTAGCGTTTCCTGATTTGCCTTTGGACTGTCCGGTGACCGCACAGAATAATTTCTCGGAACCCCCTATGGATGAGCGTTCAAAGTGGTGGTCGATTGGAGCTTGGATTGGGCTATTTGAGAGCTTGTTAAGGGGGTAATGACCTGATATTTGGAAGAAGATAAGGGGAGTTTAAAGATTTGGGGGGGGGGGGGGGGGCGGCTAAGGAAGTTGAATCATAGGAAGAGGAGAGGGAGCCATTTGAATTTAATTGATAGAAGGTGTTTGATATTCAAATATCCTTTCATTTCATCATTGAAGAGCTCCATACAATGAGTGGGTTACATAAAAGTGTGTTGGGTTATTTTGACAAGTTTTGTCTAGAAATTTATTTAATTGCCCAATTAGACCACTTTAATGATTGGATGCATAAAAATACGTAATGGATATGATGGGTTGGTTATCTTGCTTTCTTAAACCTCATTCACATAGCATGCCTCACATTTTCTTTTCAATAAGAAATATGAATTCCAAATAATCCTTTACCAAACAAAGCCTTCCATTTAAAGCTCATTTACTTCTATCCTTATGCCATCTTATTAGTATATTCAAAGTTCTTTTTAGTTTGTCCTTCAACTCTATTTTTTTAATAGTGCAAAATATAGAGCATCAATACTTATACGGAAATTGGACTAGGTTTTAGATTTGCCAACATTAACTGTTGGTGAGAAGAAGATAGAATCAGGTTGGTGATGTGAGTTCGTGGGAAGCAGATATGGGTTTGGATGGAGTCGGGGTTTGAGCTGGGCAATGAAGTTAAGATGTGAAGAGCATAATTCGTTGGCTATTGCCAGTCTAGCTTGGGATCTAGACTAATATGGAAGGGGTTCTTGAGATCTGTGAAGATCAGCGTTGGAGTTGAGTTTGGCGGTGTTGATTTAATAGGTCATAGGCTGAGTTTGATGAGATGCGTGACTAATGAGGAAATGAGGTTCAGGCTAAGTATTTTTTTTCTGACTAGGGTGGAGACATATACGTGAAAAGATTGAAGTAGTTCCAGTGGAAAGATAAAATTAGAGAGAGTGGCCTTAGATGGTTTGGTCACATAAAACGGCGGCCTTTCAATGACCCTATTAGGATAATAGATGTATTAGATTTATCTTATGTTAAGAAAGGTAAAAGTAGACTTAAAAGGATTTGGTTAGAAAATATTAGAAATGACTTTTCTTTATTAGATTTAAATGAGAATTTGACCCTTAACAAAACACAATGGAGACAATAGAGAAAAAAGATTCATGTAACCGACCCACGTAGTGGAATAAAGGCTTATTGTTGTTGTTGTGTGGAGACAAGATTTTTTATATGGGTTTGCATGAAGTAGAATTTAGGTTGAATTTGGGATGATCGACGTCAAAATGTGGGAGATGATGTGGATTTGGTGCAATGATATATATATATACTCTAGAAAATGGGGTAATTGAGGAGGAAGAAGAGAGTATCACAACAAATGGAGATTATTCATTTCATTGATTGACACCCTAATATTTCGAAGGTGTATTTATTGCATTACAATGACACAATGATACATTAATGGTCTATTATGCACTGTAATACTTATAGACCTATGAACACTAAGATCTATTATAACCTATTAAGCACCCAAGGCTACACAAGTATTATTAAACCATTATAGATGCTTAACAAAATATCATATTTCTAATATTTGGGCCTATTTTGCCAGTCATATTACATAATTCAGAATTCTCGTGGAATTTTGATGAATGTATTTATCAATCTGAAGGATATTAGGGATTATAAAAAGTCTTATATTTCTTATATTTGGGCCTATTTTGCTGGTCATGTTACAAAATTCAGAATTCTCTTGGAATTTTGATGAATGTATTTAACAATCTGGAAGACATCAGGGATTATAAACATTTCGTTTTTATTCTTTTGAAATGATTTGAGAAGCTAGTAATCTTTTTTATTGTAGAGGTTGGGTCCAAATCGATACATTATGGCTTTTATGATCTCGTTTTAGTTTTTGCTTTTTAATTTAGTCTCCTTCTAATTAGATGAACAAGTATTTTGTGCTGGAATACTTAGTTTTTAGCCTTTCCAGTCTATTACTTTTTCATGGAGTAACAACAATGTCAAGCAAACAGTAAGCAGCTGACATATTTAACTAATTTAATATAAACATTTCGTAATTTCTTTAATCTCTTCACCGCCTATTTCCCTTAACTCTCCAAGGTGTAGTTTTCATTTTTTTTTCATGCTGCTCATCAAAGATAAATTGCTATAATTAGAACCAAATGCTGCTATTTACAGAACGAATGGTATGAGTGGATTCATAAAGCTACAAAATAATTAGGACAAGGCTTAGCTGATGCGTATATATGCTGCTTGTTTTCCCCTATTTCGTACTGGTGAATTTCTGTTTTCAATAAATTCCTTTAGCAGGAGAGCATTGGTATTTAGTCTTACATGTTAGAAATTTTCAATGAATGATTTAATTACCTTCTACATCTCCTTAGAATAAAATCACTTTGCTTTTCGTGATGTTTTTTAGATGTTTGCTCAAAGTAACATTGTATTCTACTTTTTTTTTAAAAAAAAAATATAGGATACAAGAAGGGGACTGAATTCAGTAGACCGATATGTCAATGATCACAATATCGAAGGAGTTTTTGGTTCGCTATTAGAGTTAATTGAATGTGATGAGAAATTCTTTACTGCTGTTGAAGTTACTGCTGGAAATAGGTATCCTTTTTTTGGATCTCTCTGATCATTATTTTTTTAGTTAGAAACCGTTCATGTTTATATTTGATAAATTTCTTTGGATTTATGGAACATATTTCGTCAAGTTTCAAAGTTGACTACTTATTTTATTATTTTTGTTATTTCCAGCCTATTCCATGTCGTGGTTGCAACAGATGACATTTCTTCTAGGATTATTAGATACCTTACTTCGGAGAAAGGTGGGAGAGTGACATTTATACCCTTGAACAGAGTGATTGTACAGCGGGTAAACTATCCACAAAGCTCAGATGTGGTGCCTTTGTTAAAGAAACTAAAATTTCGTTCCGACTGTTCTGCAGCATTTCAGCAGGTATGCTTGATTCCTTATATCACAATATACTAAAATTGCCCAAAGTTTTACCATTGTTTGATTTGCCCTCACTAGTATTGTCTTCATCAATACTTAACTTATTACAATTCCTATGTGGTGTTAAAAAAGGGAATCAATTGTGCAGGATTGAGCTAAAACTCGGATTAATTAAAACTGTTGTTTTTTTAACACTAATCATAATTTAATGGTAATCATAAAGTCAACCAACAAAGTTGAATTCATTTAATATTTTGAATGGATGTTAGCTTGTAAGGAGACTACTTAATTAATCCCTTTGTTTTCTTGTCACATGCAATTTGATTATGTCAAGGGAAGAGAGAGTTTGTATCTTATTCATTTTGTTATGTAATTAAAACAATTTGCCAAGGTACAACGAAATAAGCATACTCCCCTAATTATATATAGAGTAGTTTTCTAATAATAATATTTATTATACGAATAACCCCCTTAATCTATAGCATGCATATTAATTCTCTTAGCTTGTTAAATAATTGAAAAAAAAACTGAAGTGGACCCAAAGCCTAGGTAAATATAGCTACTATATGCTCTGTTCAAAACTTGGGTAATGATCTTCTTTGATAGCACCACATTCTGAATAAAATGATAGTTAATCCCAATATATTTTGTCCTTTCATAGAACACGGGATTCCTAGCAATATGGATGATAATGTGATAATGTGATTGTTATATTTTAAGTTGTGTAATAGAAAAGTTAAATTCTTTAATGAGTCTTAACACACATCATTCACATTTAGGGGCTGTTTGGTTGCCTGTAAAGAAAATGCAGTGTAAAGTAAATGCAATGTAAAATAAATGTAGTGCATTCTGAATGCTTTGAGTCTGTTTGGTTGTCTACAAATAAACGCAGGAGAATTGTTTCCCTGTTTGGTTAGGTAGATCCAGAGTAAAGTAAAAACAATTTTTTTAAATAATTTATTTTGATATTAAAACTAGTGCATTTATAAAAACAGTATATTTATAATAATTAGTATTATTGGTGTTATAAAAAAAATCAATGTATTAATTTATTGCACGATCTTATTATAAATTTTTTTTATTAGTATAAGATATAAAAAATTGGACAAGATTTCATAGAAGATTAAACAAATGTATAAATGTATTGCACCAAGTTATGTATCCCTTGGCTATGTATACTATTGATAAGGCTCCAAAATACCATAATGGGTGCCAAGCATGGGACATCAGTTCTTTTTCTCTAATTATCTCCAAAAGACATCAAGTTTATGTAAATGTTAAATAGAATGGGGAAATCAACGGAAAATATGCAGCAATTCTATCCATAGAACTTCAACTTTATGTTGATGTACCCATAACAAAGATTGTAAAAAGCAACAGAACATCTAAAACTAAAAGTGTTGTACATCTCAAACTTATAAGAAATTTACCGACAAAACAAAAGTTTGAGGTCATCAAATCTAAAAAGAGATCATTTTTTGGGATAAAATTATTCCAGGTAAAATAAAGGGAAGAATCATTAAAAAAATTATATTTTCCATTGTGTCCAAGCAATTTTTAAACAAAAGTTTCAATACTGAAAATAAAACCCAAATGAATAATTAAAATAAAAATGAATCATAAAAGGAAAGATATTACACTTTTTTCAAGAGCAAGCTCCTTGAAAACACAAAAGCTAGAAGCCCTTTCCAAAGAAAGGTATATGAATAGTTGATTGCTACCTTTAACCCCAATGTTAAGATTGACGATCTAGTATTTACAGAAAATGGACCTGTAAACTAGAGGAGTCGGAATAGTAGTCCCGTGTCTGCGCTGAGCAGCCAGGCGTCTTTATATCTTCTTCCATAGGGATGAGGCCGTCGGTACGCTAGACGGAGTCTTCAACCACGGAGAGCTTCGCTGGAAGCCTAGAAGGCAAGGATTGATCATTGTTAACGTGACAACCATCCCAAGACTTGGGTCTGTCCACCGAGCATCTCTAGTCGTCGATGGAGATGCGACCAGCGTCAAGAGGGAACCTGGAGCGATATCGCAAGAGCGGCGACCAAAAGCATCGACGGCGATCTCCGACTGGGTGTCTCTGAACCGGCAGGAAGATATGCGAATTTTCTAGCCCTCCGTTTGTAAAATCGAGGGCTCGCTTATGCCATTTTCGCCGGCGGCGCTTTTGTTCGGCTTATGCTTCCTTCGCCATTTATGGAGCTTTTTACCAAATCTAGTAGTTCGGGGGATTGACGGGATCTGCTTGAAGAACGCGTGAAAGGTAGAAAGTTACCTTCACAGCTAGCGAGCTCCTGTCCTTACTTCCGATCAAAATGTCGCAACTTCCGATCCTACAGGAAAAGGGAACGCGTCGAATAAGCCGAAGGAGCGAAGTCGAACAAGAACGAAGGAGCCGAAGAAGCCACTCGTGAAATCTTACACCTCCTGCGAAGCAATGAAGCCGAACAGCAAGATGATGCGAAGGATTTCATCCAGCGATTTTATAACCCGCTCAATATCAGCGGGTTTCTATTTTGCAAGAAACATGCTCCGTAATACACGCCTAATACTTCAAAGGATTTTCTTTTGCTCCACTCAAAATTAACCAAACAACCAAATTTAATAAATACATGTAATTATTTTACTTTACCCTCCTAATTCAGGCAACCAAACAGCCCCTTAGTGTGTGCCATGACTTTGTATTTTATCTTAGTGCTTGATATGACTACCATTGGTTGTTTTTTACTTTCCCTATGACTAGGTTACTTTCATTCAATATGTAGTACTTAGATGTGGATTTTCTATTATCAAATGATCTAATATGGCCAATATAAGAAAAAAACTTCTACGTTAAGATGTCCTTGTTTAGCATATAATTTTCGTTTACATGGCGACTTCTTAATATATATGAGGATGAGCAAATTCACAATATATTTATTTGGGAGTTTGTATATGTTGACTCATAACCCCTACAACAAGGGAGATATATGGTGTGAACCCTTAATATTGAGATGTGTTTTGACAATTTTTTTTACTGTCTATATTTTTTGTTACGACCCGACTCAGAGACTCGAATTAACGAGGCGTGAACAGACGGTCGGACAATTGATTAAAATTTTCAATTACTAATTAACACTTACAAAGCAAAAAGAGTCACTAAAACCTTAAAAAATATATAAATACCTTTCTTTTAAAGTGTAGCGCCTATGATACTTATTTTCTTCTCTTATGCTCATTTTAGCAAATTGAATTATATCTGAAAATATTTTTCAATAAGAAGAGTGAGTCATAACATAACTTAGCGAGTAATTCATACTTCTAAATTATAGTAACCCAATGTATTAGGAATAATATGCATGATTAATTTAAAACATAAAATAATTTCATTTAAATTCGTTTCGAACATGACCATCAATGTTATACATGTTACATATTTATCTATATATTTATTCTTTTTCGTAATAATACAATTGTCATAGGAGCCACTGTCTAAAATATTATCAATGAAGATATTCATTTTTCTTTTCCATAATATTTTTCATTTATGTGCATGGCTATGATGCACCGACACGGCACTTAGAGAGGGTATGCAGTGTCGGACACGTGTCGGACACCTCATGGACACGTGTCCGACACGGCATTAGAGTGTCGCAATTAAAAAAAATTAAAATTAAAATCGGACACGCGTGTCCGGTTATTAAATGAGGTATCTCTAGGTACATGCTCGGTATTGCTCAGTACATGCTCGGTATTGCTCAGTACATGCTCGGTACCGCTCAGTACTTGCTCGGTATTGCTCAGTACATACTCGGTATTGCTCAGTACATGCTCGGTACCGCTCAATACATGCTCGGTACCGCTAGGTACATGCTCGGTATTGCTACGTATATGTTCGGTACTACTAGATACATGCTCGTACCACTCGTATCTTCCCATACAAACAACTTACGAACTTAAAAACAAGCAGAACTTCAAAAATTACTCTTACAATAAAATTTGTTCCGGGGGCGCTGCCCTGGAAACCCCGCAGGTCGAACCCTGCCAGGGGGCAGCACCCCCTTGGACCCCCGGCAGACTGGTATATTGTTGTATTCATGTTGTCTTATTATTGGGATATTTTGATTTCACTTCATATCAATTTAATTTGGTGTTACTCATTGTATGATTGATTTGTTAACAAATGAGCTATGCTACTGCGGGGGGTGGATTAGGTGAAGGTTCAAAAGAGAATCTGTCCACGCGTGTCGTGTCACTATTTTTAAAAATTATTATATATTATATTAAAAAAATATATTATGTCGTGTCCATGCCGTACCCGTGTCCTAAATATTTTTAAAATTTGCCGTGTCCCGTGTCCGTGTCGTGTCGTGTCTGTGTCGCATTGTCCGTGTCGATGCATCATAGGTGCATGGGTACATTGCATCTCCAGTCAGTACCATAAGGGGGTGTGCTCATGCACATGCAAGCATAGATCATATCATCTACATTTCATATAATTTCATATTAACATATATAAAGCATCATGATATTGGATGAGTGACCTCTTCATAATATAAAAATTCAAGGCTTTTAGTTTAACATAATCAATTGTCTTTAACAAAAAAAAAAACATTAACATTAAAAAAATTAAATAATAACAATATTTGATGAAACATGTGTAGGAGAAGTAAATATAATTATTGTAAATTAGAACATGAATACTCACCTTAGGTATCTTGTTTCTTCACTCTTACTCTTTGCTTCGAGGTCAATAATTATCAAATATATAAAAATATTTTTTTTATTAAAAATCTAACTTATATTTTAAAATTTTATTTTAAATTTCTTCTCTTTTTAAATGTTCTTTAATTCTTAAAATAAGTATAGAGTATTTCACTTATAAAATTTTTGTTTATTATTAAAATTAAAAATACGTGTTGTGCTCTCTCTCTTACTCTCCAATTAGTTATTTAAAGCATCTAGTTGATCAATTTCTAAAAGTGCTTATTTTATCATTAAATTTTAAATTACTGATAAAATTT